GTGGATTATTATTATTCAATGGAATATGTTTCAAGTGCGGTTTCTGTAACTTTGTGCGAATTTGATAAATGATAAATGATGCTTTTAGAATGTTCGAATGTTACGTTTCTGAAATATTCATCGCTGATGGAATTCGAAATATTTTACTTTATCAAGAATAAGTGAATTATTTATTTGCGGATAGAAATTTATGTTTTTGAGTTATAATTTGCTTTCAGTTTTAAAAAATTTCATACGGAAGAGAAATTTTTTTTTTAAATTTTACAAAACGTTTTGTACTTTTTGCTTTACTGAAAATTTTCATCGTGGCGAAACTGTTCTGTTTAAGCTGAAAATTAAACTTATTTGAATTTTATTTATTTCTATTTTTTATCTTTTTTAAATTTTAATTCTTTTTATTCTTTATTCATTTTTATTTTTTTTATTTTATGTTAATTTTTTTTGCAAGTATCACAGACTGTTATTTTTTTACTTTTTTAAAATTTTGTCACCTATATTTCAACAATTCTGTATATTTTTAAAATATTTTTAATCAAAAGTTCAGTTTTCTAAAGATTTTGGATATTAATAAATTTATATTTTAATAAATCTTTATTTTAATTTATTAAAACTTCCATTGAATAAAATCTTAGTTGACTCTGAATTCAATTCGTCAAAATTTAATTTTCCTACCGTTATGAACGTTTAAAGGAACGGAATATTTTTTTATGCTCCAATATTTTTAAAAATGACTAAATTCAGATGAAAAATATTTTTAACTGAACATTAAATTTAGTTAAAAATTAGGTTTTAAATTATACAAAACAAATTTTTGGAAATAAAATACAAATTAAAAGAAGCAATAAAAATATCATCGTTCATTTGAACGTTCAAAACTGTTGGTACATAAAATTTTTAATCTTTGGAATTAATTAAGTAAATATAAAACTTTTTTTATTTATGCTTATTTTAATACAAAATGTTGTGTAAAATTTTAAAAGTTATTCTTTTGTCTTCTTTTTCTCTATAAAAAGAAAAAGAGACAAAATGCATTAATTTTATTGATGTAAATAATTGAAAAATAAACAATTTAAAAATAGCTAAATTTTTGTCTATTTTTCTTGTCGAAATTGTACTTTGTCTTTGGCTAAGCTCCCCGTTAATTTTCATACATAATTAATTAAAATTAGCTACACGTGGATTGGATTAATTATTCCCTTGCGGTTTAGTTTTCCCTTTGTTCCGTCCCCTGGATATTATAAAAAGTAGATGTCAATTTAATATTTGATCCTACTGATACTTTACCCTAATAAGGGGAACTTGCTCTTTTCGGAAGGGCCAATTCGCAAAAATCCACTTTCTATTTCTAAATTACTACCGTATTTCATGATATAAAGAGGGACACATAAGTTTTCTTCACTGACAATGATTAATTCCCAAACGTCGAATTTACGGAAAAATTTATATCTTATTCTCATACAGAAAAATAATACGAAGTTTATTCTTAAAAACTAGAAAATTTATAATAAATTATAATGTTAATAAATTATGATGTTAGTCAATTATAAATAAATTATAATGTCAATAAATTATGAATAAATTGTAAGATTCCCTTTTTTCAGTTTCAGGTGAGTTTGTCAATTTTTTATTTTTTGACGTTCCTTCACTTCTCGAAGAATGTAAACAATCGAAAGGTAAATTACATAATCCGTGTATTACAAGACAATGATTTATAATGCCAGAAGCATCGTTAAATAAATAATTTGAAACTAAAAATACTGTTATAACATTTCAAGCAGAATATTTGGGTCAGGTCAGAGATTTTCAAGTCAAACTAGGCGATATCTTGAAAATTTAAAGAGTTTCCCCTTCGTTGTATTTTTATATTCTCTCTCGAATAATCATTTATCTTATTTCTTATTGAGAGGAAAATTCGCTTATTTTCGGTGAATCTAGAGCACTTTTTATAGTACACTTACTCCTTAAATTTACATTAACCAAAATCGATTACTGAAATATTTTCAAAAAGTTTGCGAAAACAAAAACTATTAATCAAATGCTTGTCTAATTTGTGAAAGGGGGATAAACTTCTTTTGAGAAGTATACTTAAAACTGAATTTGAGTGATTTTTTTCCACCAGAATATATATAGCAATACTATAAGAGAGCTGTGGCGCCTTGAGGATTACAAATGCGTCATTTTTTGCACAAGCTTGTGTCTGCCGAAATGATAAAATCCTTTGTCACACTTTGCGTCTCTTTCGAATAAGCATCACACGCGCGAATGGCGAAAAATTGTTTGTTCGAGCATAAATTCTGGTGTTGCTTTTAGGGCATATGACGAATTTTATACTGAGGATGTCATGAGATAGTTTAACAATCGGGGATTCCGTTTCAAAGAGGAAAATAATTATCATATTTTTTTGGAGCTCTGTGTTGTTCTTCTCTTTGATCTTATATGATAATCGTAAATAATATGCTTGATATTTTAGCTTTGTCTTGATATCCTCTGTGTAGTGGAATAGAATTACAGAATAGCTAGAGAATCGGTTGTGAAAATTTTGGAATTGATACCCTTATTTTCCATTCAGTATATCGACTTTAGAAGTCGAATTTTTCGATATCGAATATTGGGAATTGACTGCTGACCCAATATTAATTGCTGAAATGAGAATGAGAATCCTCTAAAACAATAATTGTCGAACTCGAAATGTTGATTTTTCAAGGTACTGTGTTTCTAAATTACCCAATGGGAGAAATATGGAACTTCTAGAACATACACATTTTTCTAATTGTCAAGTTTCCTGATCGACATGCTTAATACTCGATAAGCCAAAATGCCGATAGTCCAGAAGATCAATTCGACTAATTTATCCAAAAAGTAGATAAGCCAAAACATAAACTTTCTTAAATTCTAACTGTTCCAAATACCGTCTGATCAAAACACCGAATTTTCAAAATAAGAATTCCTTAAAATTTTGACCTTTTGTCGAAATCGGTGATTAAATAACCGATGTTTTGATTTGTAGTTCTTTTGACGAATGCAGTTTTTTGATAGTGCGAAAAATGTTTACTTTTGAAAACATGGACTTGCAGAAAAAACAGTTTTCTAAGACTTCAGGACTTTAAACTGATTTTAATCATTGATTAACTTTTAATCGGAGTTGGTGAAACTTGCCCTTATTGTCCTAAATATCGATTCGACAAATGTATGAATTTTTTAACTAAAAACTCGCCAAAAAATCTACTTCTGACGATTTTATGTTTCAGCTTATCACCCTTTTTAGCAAATGAATATTTTGGACGATTAGTGCTTTTGCAAGTCGATGTTTTGGTTTCCTTGACTGCTGGCGAATCGGAATTTTGAACAGTTGGTGTTTTATAAGGTCTACGCATTTGCTAATCATTTTTTTTGGCAACAACATTTTCTACGCTGGATTGTTTGTACAATAGAAATTTGATGACTTGGTTTCTCTAATTTTTTACAAATGCGGTTCTGGATAACTTATCTTTTTTCGAATCGGTATTTTGGATCATTAGTGGTTTTGAAGTTTGGTGTTTTGACATCCCTGACTTTTGGCGAATCGGAATTTTTCAGAGTTAGTTTTTTCTAATGTCGATGTTTGTATTTATTACCTTTTTGGTGATTTTGTATTTGGGATTGTGCTTTAGTAATGCGATATTTAGATTTTTATACATTTTGGCGAATCCGAATTCTGGACATTTTATTTTGTATTTGGGATTATGCTTTAGTAATGCGATATTTAGACTTTTATAAATTTTGGCGAATCCGAATTCTGGCCATTTTATTTTTTATTACGAGGTTTACGTTTTCGATTATCTTGCTTTATGGCAATTTTATGTTTTGAATTGGAACAACGCCTGCTTGCTAAAATACTGTCAGCATTTCGACGAGTAACTCTTCTCGAAATTCAGTTTTTTAGAAAGTAGATACTTCGGTTTATCGGGATTTTTTGGCGAGTCATTTCGGCATAGATATATGTTTCTGCTGTGTCACTATTTTGACGTTTCTGGATCAAATCTTTGGAGTACAAAAGATTTCAAAAGAAGACCTAATGATGAGCCTAATGGTTTATTGATGCATCACAAGTGGGTGGAATTGTGATGCATCAATAAACCATTAGGCCAAAAATATAAATGTAAAGTATAAATAAACCATTGCTACCAAAAGAGGTATGTCAGCACTTTGATATTTCGTAATTATAATTACAATTAAACCTACGGGCTATTCGATGTCTGTTAAAAAATATTAAGAGTGTCACTAGTAAATAGTCGCAGCGAAAACAAGAGAGCTTACTATTCTTTTCTTTTTGCTGTAACGTTTTATTAGTTACTCTATTAGCTAACATCGCAAAGTTAATTATTTGCTAAATTTTTTAATAAAAGTTATTTCCGTGAGTCCCACTAAACCAAAGATGATGATACCAAAGTATTAAGTGGAGACGAATATACCAAAGTGCAGATAATCATTTTGAAATCATAGTCTCGAAGTAATTTCCGAAAATATATCCAAATACAAGAATGCAGAACCAACAATTAGATACACAATCAAAGTAGTTTCTCCTGTAAGTTCCATTACAAACAATGTCAACTAAAGAGGGACATTTGTTGTTCACGGATGACAGCGTGAGGATCATTGCACTGACCCTCCCTCTCCCGGCAATATAATTCAAAAAACAAATGGAAAAATCGAGTTTCCACTTATGGTAAAAAGGTGATTTCTCACCTACAGATAAATGCATGTTGTGTGTTGTTGCTGCTGTTGAGGAGTGCATCAGCGCAATTTTAACCGATTCTGAACCGTACCGTGAAGTACCGCTCGTACCAAATGAATATTGTGAGTGTACGAGAACGGTTTTCTAGGCACGAGCCTAGGCTCTTACATTCGCGGACACACGTTTACTATATACGTGTCGCCGCGTTTTCAAGGAGGTGGGGTGTCTATAGACAGGCAAACCACTTCGCGGTTCTGAAAGAACATCGCGGCGACGACGACCAGTCAAGCTGAAACCACCAACAGCGATCGTACTACCGTATTTTAATACCCAGTCTCGTTGGTTTATATATGAGAGAAATAAATTCCTTCTCTCGCGCCGTGAATTGTGTTATGTTAGTTTCCCGATTTTTTAAAATTTTCTTCTGGGTGGATTTTATTAATTCCTTTTCGGATTATCGAAGTGAATACATTGAAATTGTGTGTTGTTGACAAGGATGATCATGTGTGTGCATGTGTGTGTGTGTCAACATACGTTATAAATTGGTCTGTTATCCGAGAAACCTGTGTACCGTATTGCAGACAAGGATGACGCGCCACATGGTAGCGACTGTTACCACTTAATGACCCCAGGGTCAGTTGTCAGTTGTCCGTTGTCAGCTGATTGTGAGAGACAAGTATTGCACCCCCTTTCGAGATCGCTTTCTATCACGTGAAATTGATGCCGGAAATTCAAGTCACATTCATATTTATTATGTTTATTTCTTCTGTCAGAATCGATTTTTGGGATGTTATTTTCTTCATTAAACTCCTTCATTTGTATCTTTTTTAAGAAATTTTTATTTATTGAAATTCATTCCCGCAGTCTAAAGAAGGGGTGATGTAAATGAGCAACAAAGTATTAGTGAAATTAATTGAAACAAATAGGCAAAAGTAAATTGTAACTAACTAGTATAAGTACTTTCGGAGGCTGACAATATGATGTTTTAGACACTTCACAAATTTTGATTTTGTGATGCAATAAATGGATCCGCATTCGGATGTAGAGAATTATAAATTTTACATTTTATTAAACATGGTCTTAATTTTGATTTAAAGAAAAAATGCATCATTTCTAATGAGTCTAATGTATGTAACGTTTTTAAGAACGAAAAAAATAATACTATGGTTTTCTTTATTTTTGCTTCTAAGTCATTATATTTTTTAACAATTGCCCATTTAGTAATAATTAATTTCTTAAAAATAAAAGCACGCGAAAATTAGTGATGAATTTAACTTGAAAAAATCGATTTTTCGTTTTTAAAAACTTCAGATTCATCAATTTCTAGAAGATAGTCAAGGAATTTTGAGCTTAATCAGTTTTAAAAGATTTTTACAGTAATTAAACATCCTTCTTCTAGAGAAAAATTTTCCCTTCAGGACAATTTCTTTTTCCATAATAATAATATTTCATTATTGAACACTGTCATTTTTTTTTATTTTTAAATTAAATTTACTCTGCTTGGAATTTTTTATACTTTCTTAAAACTAAATTTTTAAAAATCGTTACGACTTTAAATAGCATTGTTATATTTTGAAATATTAGAAAAGAAATATTGATTGAATTTTATAAAACTTGTATTTTATTTTATTTTTAAAACTAATTATTTCGATATCAATTCGCTTGGTTAGAAGAAATCCCTTGAATTTTAAAACAAAAGCCGAGTTGTATTAAAAAATTTTGATACAAATTTTAGAAATATTACAGACTATATAAAAGGATATAAAACGAACAATTATAAAAATTTTAACAGAAAAGTTAAACAAAACATGTCTTAACTAACTTTAAAGAGCTTTAATAATTAAGAAATAAATAAAAGTTCTTTTGAATGAACAGAAAAAATAAATAAATTAACTATTTTTAAATTAACCTATAAATATAAATAAATAATTATTTTGCCAAACAGGAAATATTCATTTTCCAATATCTACTTCAATTTTTGTATAATTGCAGATTCAAAATTTAAAAAATTTACTTTTTAACTACATGATCAAATATTAATATTATTTTCTAAAATTTTAACTTTATTTTAAACAATTCAATTATTTTCAAATTTTTTTTTAAATTTCACGAAATGATTCAATTATTATTAAAAATTTTTAATAAAATTTATGGAAGGAATTAAATTATTCTCAAAGGATTTAATAAAAGGTTTTACTATAATTCAATTACTTTCAATAAAATTTTAATTGAATTTCTAAAAAAGAAATAAATTATTTTCAAAAACTTTAATAAAATTTCTTGCAAAGATTCAATTATTTTCATTAATAATAAAATTTCTCTTAGTACCTAGATATAATTAAATGACTTTCAAAAATTGGAATTAAATTTTTTGCTAGAATTTAATTGTTTTCATATATAATACAATTTTTCGAATGAATTCAAGTATTTTGGAAAATTTTGATAATATTTTTGATAAGTATTCAATTATCTTTATTAATAAAATACATATGCTTTTCCGAAATTCAATTATTTTCAAAAATTGTAATAAAATTTTTCGCAAGAATTCAATTATTTTCAAAAGTTTTAATAAAATTCTGTGAAGAGTTTCCAAAAAATTTTTAAAAAATTCAAAACTGAAATATTTACTAATAATTATTAACAAACACGTTTATTTTAAACACTTTAAAAAAATTCTTCATAAAATTTAATTACTTATTTGTTATTTTCAAAACATTCACAACTTTTGAAAAGAAAGATTATTAACAAAGTTAGGAACCAACAATATTATAGTATCTAACGAAATGTCTTAATATTAAAATAAATAATTAATAATGTTATAAATGAATGTTAAAATAAATAAATAATATTATATTATTAAGTATTAAAAATAATAATAACTACAGAAGATAATACAGAAAAAAGCATAAAATGAAAGTAAAACTGACGAGAGAGAAAATTATCGCATTAGATATACTAATTTAATGACTGAAATAAACCATTTTTTGTTTATTTAATTATTTAAGGAAAAATTGGAAAGTTTACTCTTTTAAACTCTCCTAATAATAATGCAGGAAAGTGAAAAAATTTTTTAATGATTTATTTATTATACCTCTGGTCAATTAAAAGTTTTAAATATATTTAAAAAAAATATTTTTTTCTACCTTTGAATTAGAAGACAAAGTAAAACTTTTGAGAAAAATAAGTTTCACTTTGATATTTTTTGAAAAGATGTTTACTTAAAATCGAATATCTGATTAAAATTTCTTCAATCAGGAAAACTTTTTTAGTCGATAAAAGTTTTACGCGAGAAAAGTTAACTCTCTTCATCCATACAGCAAAAAGTAAAGCGAACATTTTTTTTCTCTTTTTATTAAAGAAAAATTTCAACTCGACTATAAAGAAAATATTTACTTATTGGTTAAAAAAATTTTCCAATTTTACTTTCTCATAAAAAACTTTTTCTGTGCGTCAATATTTCCTTTCTTTGAAGAAATATTGAAAAAAAACAATTCTTTTAAAAAATTTCTAATATTTGAGTAAATTATTTAAATATATTTTAAATCGTATCTTAATAAATTGATATTTTCATAAAAAATATAATTTGAAAATTTTCTCACATAATTATTTTATTTTAATTGAGAGTACAGTTTTAAAATAAGAAATTTAATTCATATCCCCTCTTTTACTAAATAGAGGAAAAAAGTTTAATTTTTATTTACTATATGTTTAGAAAAGAAAAAGCGTTCGTGGAAAAATACAAGTTGTAGGTACAATTACAGTTACAAAATTGAATTTGCAATCCAATTACTCTGCATAATGTTGTGAAATAGCAGAAATTTAAATGAGAATCTGAAGTAATTTCTAATTTGTAAGTTAAAAGTATAAAGTAACATTCGGTTCTTTGCGATAAGAAAAAAAAAAAGAAAGAATAACATTTAAATTGATTCAGGTGCTAAATAATTGTGAATAAATTTTTCTTCTTTGCTAATTTTTGACCTAAATAATTTTAAAAAAATAAAAATTTTAAAACATTTTAAAAAAATTACTTTGTATATTAAAAGAAAATGAATTCTTAACTAAGTAAATAGGTTTAATTTACATTTTTTATAATAATTCATTATAATTATTCAAATTAATAAACATTTTTACTAATTGAAATTTAGAGAGTATTATAATTTAAAAATACGTTTAATTCTTTCTTAAATACCTAATTAATAATCAGTAGCGACGCAGAAATTCATCTGAATTGATTAAAATGAAAAATATAATTTGCCAGACATTGTTTTGATGATTATAAACTGTCAATTAAAATTAAGGTCAGTGGCACACGAATCGATGGATTCAATTAGATTGAACATATATTATTTTTTCTTCTTTTTTTTCTTTCTTGCTGTCGATGAAAGCATCCTCAAAAATGCATAAGGCGAGGTCGAATCTCTATATATACCTATATATATGTTTGATACAAATTTTACAGTATAGACACACTTTCATCTTTTATCATCATAAACAAAAATTTCTTTTCATCATCAAAAAAAAAAAGAAAAAGAAAAATTTTCAGACAATTTATTTTTAGTACAATTCTGTATTATTATTATTTTAATATATATATATATATATAAATTTTATTAATTTTGTTTTCTTTCTTTCTTCTCATTCACCTTTAATTAACAAATTTTAAATTATATTGATATAATAAAGGAAATGAATTTTTAAAACAACCGATTTGAACATTAAATTAAGAATTAATTGACAATTTAATAATACATATTCTCTTTTGGTGAAAGTTTTATTATTAAGCTTCCTTTATAGGGAATCATTTTATAATTCATGATTTATAATCATTCGATTTTCATTCATTGTCCTCGATTCGTGTTTGTGATTTATTAATTATCTATATTGTTTAAGGTTGTTGTATTATTTTTATTATTACTGTTATTGTAACTATTACTATTATTATTATTATTATTATTATTATTATTATTATTATTATTATTATTATTATTCAATTATTTTCAAAATTCAATTGAATTTTTTACGCAAAATAAATTTTTTTTCAAATATTAATAAAAATCTTTGCAAGAATTCAATTATTTTCATAACTTTTAATAAAATTCTCCACAGAAATTCAATTATTTGCCAAAATTAATAAAATTATTCACATGAATTCAATTATTTTCAAAAGTAAAAAATTCTTCTCTGAAATTCAATTATTTGCAAAGAATTTTAATAAAATTCTTGTCAAATTTTCAATTATCTTTTTAAATAATAAAATTTATCCTAGAAATTCAATTATTTTCAAAAGTAATAAAATTCTTCGCAGAAATTATATTTTCAAATTTTTTTTTAATTTCTCGTTAAAATGTTTATTATCTTCATAAATAATAAAATTCATCCTGGAAATTTAATTAT